GTCTGTGGCCTTATTATGATTTTAGGCAGCCTCTCTGCTAATGCGTGGGGTTGTGTTCCTGTCTTGCTAGTTGTTTGGCATAGGGTGTCCAGCACTGTAGCTTGCTGGTCATTGAGTGAAGCTGGGTCTTGGTGTTGAGATGGACAATTCTGGGAGATTTTCACACTTTGATATTACGTGGAACTGGGAGGTCTCTTGTGGACCAGTGTCCTGAAGTTGGCTCTCCCACCTCATAGGCACAGCATTGACTCCTTGCTGGAGCACCCAGAGCCTTTCATCCATACAGCTCAGAATAAAAGGGAGAAAAAGTAGAAAGAAAAAAAAAAGAAAGAGGATAAAATCAAATAAAATAAAGTTATTAAAATAAAAAATAAAAAGTAATTATTAAGAAAAAATTTTTTTTCAGTAAAAAAAACGGATGGATAGAACTCTTGGACAAATGGTGAAAGCAAAGCTATACAAAATCTAACACAGAAGCATATACATACACACTCAGAAAAAGGGGAAAAGGGGAAAAAATAATATATCTTGCTCTCAGAGTCCACCTCCTCAATTTGGGATGATTCGTTGTCTATTCAGGTATTCCACAGATGCAGCGTACATGAAGTTGATTGTGGAGATTTAATCCGCTGCTCCTAGGGCTGCTGGGAGAAATTTCCCATTCTCTTCTTTGTTTGCACAGCTCCCAGGTTTCAACTTTGGACTTGGCCCCACCTCTGCATGTAGGTCACCGGAGGGTGTCTGTTCTTCACTCAGACAGGATGGGGTTAAAGGAGCAGGTGCTTCGGTGGCTCCAGATCACTCAGGCCCGGGGGAAGGAGGGGCACGGAGTGCAGGGTGAGCCTACATCAGCAGAGGCCAGCGTGATGTTGCACCAGCCTGAGGCATGCTGTGCGTTCTCCCGGTGAAGTTGTCCCTGGATCACGGGACCCTGGCAGTGTGGGCTGCACAGGCTCCCCAGAGCATAGGTGTGGATAGTGACCTGTGCTCACACACAGGCTTCTTGGTGGTGGCAGCAGCAGCCTTAGCGTCTCATGCCCGTCTCTGGGGTCTGCGCTGATAGCCGCGTCTCACACCCGTCTGGAGCTCCTTTAAGCAGCTCTCTTAATCCCCTCTCCTCACGCACCAGGAAACAAAGAGGGAAGAAAATGTCTCTTGCCTCTTCAGCAGGTCCAGACCTTTTCTCGGACTCCCTCCTGGCTAGCCGTGGTGCATCAGCCCCCTTCAGGCTGTGTTCATGCCGCCAGTCCTTGAAGCCCAGTGCTGGTGAATGCTGGTCGGCACCTATCCTCTGTACGGGAATCTCTCTGCTTTGCCCTCCTCACCCCTGTTGCTGCACTCTCCTCCACTGCAACGAAGGTTCCCCCCTCCGCCACCCGCAGTCTCCACCCACAAAGGGGCTTCCTTGTGTGTGGAAACCTTTCCTCCTTCACTGCTGCCTCGCACTGGTGCAGGTCCCATCCCTATTCTTTTGTCTCTGTTTATTCTTTTTTCTTTTGCCCTACCCAGGTACATGGGGAGTTTCTTGCCTTTTGGGAGGTCTGAGGTTTTCTGCCAGCGTTCAGTAAGTGTTCTGTAGGAGTTGTTCTACGTATAGATGTATTTCCGATGTATCTGTGGGGCGGAGGGTAATCTCCACGTGTTACTGTTCCGCCATCTTCCCTTTCACCCCCCTGCAACTTTCTTTTCTTTCAACAAAAATGCATCTCCATTGTTCATACCTTCTTTTACTGAAAACACACATCCTACTTTCCTTGCTTACAGAGATGTTTCCCTTGTTAGTTCTAGTAGTTTTAATTACATTTATTGTTACCAAGTCAAGCTCACTCTGCTCACCATATGACAGTCCAAGAAATGGGGAGACAAGGTGTTGAGGCAAGGAATAGTGACTTTATTTGGAAAGCCAGGCATCTGAGAAGGTGGCAAACTAGCATCCTAGTGTACCATTTTATCAAGGTCTTGATGCAGTTTCTTTTATAGAACAGAGAGGGGGAGGAGGTGAGTAAGTAAAGTAAAAAGGCCATAAGTCTTGCAAAATATCTCTTGGCTTGGCCACCATCAGAGTTGGGATGTGTTCATTTCTTCTTTTATGCAGCCATTCACACATGGGCAGGGTCAGATTGTCTCCCTGTGAGCTGAAAAAAGGCACTTTAGTTTAACATTTAGGCATAGGGGTCAGGTCCCCAAGGGAGACCATTATGTATGCCAATAGCTATAGACAACATCCTTTTAGTGATTATGGTAACAAAAAGCAACAGAGAGCAAAGGTTAAAGTAAAAGAAACAGATCCAACATGGAGTCAGATTTTGTTCTTCCCTGTTACAGTATGATAATTCTTTACCTTTAGGAACTTTAATTTTTAGTGAAAACTAAATAGTAAACAATTGTGGATTGTCTGTTACACCAGTATTCTTTAGATTGGCAAATTTATGAATGCATACATTTATGAATGTACCCTTTTTAATAGCACAGTCTTTCAGTGTGGCACAGGAAATGTTTACTAATATACCCAAATATCTTTATTTCCTCTGTAATAGAAAGCCCAAAGTAGATAAACCTATGTTTAGTAATTAATGTTTCACTATTTTATTTTATTTGGATATGATCTAGGTATTCAGCAAATTCCCTTCATTTAAATTAACTTAGAAAAGCTCCAAAGTCTCAAGTTACCAAAAAGATTTTGGATGCTATTTTTAAGTATACATACCATAAAACATAATTATTGTGCCTTAAAAATCTTATCACATTTACATCAATCTAAATCATTTGCTCCCAACAATTATGTTTAGACTACTCACAAAAACTTTATGAGACATTAGACAAAGTCAGCCATCACCCCAAGCTATTTTTCTTGCTGACAAATTTTGTGAGATGTAAGATGAACTTATTTGACTAATAAACACATGCAGAATAAAAGTTGTAAGTCTGCATTATATTCAATGTTGATAATTCTAAAGAGATGTCTATTTGAGTTAAACCAACAAACTCAAACTAGCCTTTATTTACCAAAATTATTGTAGATCATGTGAACTAGAAAAACATTTGGATTAGTTTCTGTATTTCTGAGAGTTTTAGAATACCCAGTCTTTACAAGCACTTGCCTTCAATCCAACTAAATAGAACTCTTTATAAATATAGATGAATTTTGGCAATGCCATTTGGAGGTAGAAAAATATCACACATTTATAACATACATATATAGACACACATAAACACACAGACACAAACAGAGACCTTATAGTTACTAATATCTGTGGAGAAGATTTTTCATTTGCCCAGTTTTCAAATAACCACCCCTTTTTTTGGATGAGAAACATCTTCCTAAAGTTTGAATTACAAAAAGTATGGCTCTTAGGTCCTAGAGAAAATGGGAGTGGAAAAATCTACACATGGAGGCACAGAGGAAGTATCCAAGTTTCCTCCAAGATGGAGTTTTGGGGGCATATTTGCCTATTATCAAAGGTCTAGGGTAATTACTATTTAATTTTTTTTTTCTTAAGTCCAAGACAATTCTGTTTCTAATGTCTCAATGCCTATTTTGAGATGAATAGAGGAGGTTTGGTGATTGGTAAAGATAAGTGGGGTTTGAATTGCTCCTAGAGCCACATTTCTGGTTTTGTAGGGATTTGCAAGACAAAGACATTTGTTTCCATTTCCCTAAAGAACTGGACTGCTGCCTGAATTTCTAGGGGCTGACCCACCTATCTAAATTATCTCCAATGTGCTTCTTTTCCTTTGGGTACATAATTTTATTGTATTTAGCTTGGGGAAGAAGGTCAAAAAAAAAAAAATCCTCTCAGGCTCTCAGGCTCTGAATATTAGCTATGGTCAGGAGTTCAGACACAATGGTAACCTCTCATCTTATTTTCTGCCTTTTTATTTATTCACTAATCTCGGGAGGTAATCCATTTGTAAAAGCTTTTTAGGATCCTCCTGGGCTTAAGAAAATTTTAAAGTACAGCCCTTAGTTTGGGCTCTGACCTAAAGAGAATCGCCTGTCACCTCTGGTGATCTTATTTTAAAAGGTAACTGTTTAGTAGTTTCTTCAGAGTGTAAAGGCAATTTAGACAAAGGATTATTAGAATGAGCACTCAAAGGAGGATAGAGGGGACTAGTAGGAGTTACATCAATCTTTTAGTCTTTTGGGTACCTCTTATATCTTTAATTTTTCATTGATCTTTTACAACAAATCTTTCAATGAAGCTATTTTGGAATTTTGAAGCCTTTTGGAGGCTTCTGCATATCCCATTATGTTTGAATTGGAAGCCCTTGATTTTAAGAGCACTTCTTAAATAATCTTATCTAATTGGAACTTCCTCATAATGGCCATTGTAATTCTCGATTGTAATGCCCCTGGGGACTGGGAGCAGTTTGGTAGGACCCTAGCCACAAATGGAGTTTAACTCACATTTTCTGTCTAGCCATATCTAGCTGCAAATGGGGTGCAGTCTACATTTCTATCTGGCCATATTTTAGAACCTCCAACCTGGAAGTTACCAAGCCAAGTTGTCAGGACACAAAATAAGCTTGGTAAGATTTTGCCATTTTTGTAGATATCTACTCCTTCTAGGATTGCAGTTCTTAGACAAAAGATAACCAGGTGTGTTGGAAGGTGGTGTGCTTAACTCTTTGGATTTTAAGAAGGGAGGATTTACATTGGATGGGGAGTGTAATTTTTGTTTTGTTTTTTTGTTTTGTTTTTCATTTTATTAAAGGAGTCCCTAAGGCTAGCCATTATACTTCTCTGTATCCACTTTTAAAAAAAAAAATTATTTTTTATTATTATTATTTTTTTGGCCACACCACATGGCTTGCAGTTCAGTTCCCCGATGAGGGATTGAACCAGGCCATGGCAGTGAAAGCCTGGAATCCTAACCACTAGGCCACCAGGGAACTCCCTGTATCCACTTATTTTCTTAATATATTTATTTATTTTGGCTGTGCTGGGTCTTAGTTGTGGCATGCAGACTTCTTAGTTGCAGCATGCATGCGGGATCTAGTTCCCTGACCAGGGATCAAACCCAGGCCTCTGCATTGGGAGTGCAGAGTCTTACCCACTGGACTACCAGGGAAGTCCCTCCCTGTATCCACATTTTAATTTGGTCTTTCCATAAGTACAAATAAGACAATTTTTTAGGCTGAGAGGTCTGTAAAATACTTGTTTTTAAATATTCCAATTCAAAAGATCCATTGTCTGGCCATTGACAAGTAAGCTCTATTAATCTCAATAGCAACTCAAACTGATAAGCCTTTTTATGACTTAATCAAGGATGCAGGAAGTGTTTCACAAGAGAGTGCAAAAAATAGCATCCCTCACAAGGTCCAGAAAGTTCACTCCCAGAGTTAGAGTAAGAAAGCAAAGACTTCATTGTCACAGGCATTAAGAACAGTGTACTAGTGTAAGTGTATCTTTGGCTTCCCACAAGAATGTGAGATGCCTCCACTCATAGACCTGCTAATCTGTGACAAGAGGCAGGTGCTACTGGAATGGGACTTTTCCAGCACTAGTGAGACAGTGAAGGTTGAGACCACAAAGGCCCCTTATGGACTGGTGCCCCTTATGGACTGGTTCCCCTTATGACAAACTCCTCTGAGAGCCTGCACAGTTGAACAAATGGAATGATGCTTCTTGGATCTGCAGCCTGTTGTGATGCCCGCCAGATGCATGCTGGTACATGCATCCTTCAATTGGTGGAGACCAGAGAGAATATTCTCACTTGTCATAAAGCCAAGCTCTCAGGACATATGAAAAGACAACAGAGACCAAAGAAAGCAATGACCATCTCTGGGAGGATAAAGATCATAGCAAAAAAGAGTACTCATAAATTTTTACCAAAGTCTCTATACCCAAGAAAGTAATTCCACAAATATTTTCTCCTGTTAATGTAAATTTAGGGGAAAAAAAAGGATTTGTAACACTCTCACTTCCATTAGACCCTGCAGGCAGAGATCCAGTAGACTGACATGGTAAGAAATCTTACCTTCTGACAGGATATCAGATGCAGCACCCTTGGAGAGGGTAGTGTCCAGTCAGTGAAGTATCCTGCCAGTTATGCCAACTGTTGGTGAGGGAAAACTTTCCCTTTTTCCCTTATAGGTTCTTTAGCTGGTTTAATAACTAAATTGATATAAGACAGATTAAGAGGAGAAGAAATAAATAAAAGTTTAATAACATGTATATGTGGGAGAGAGCCAGGAAAACTGAGTAACTCTCCAAAGTGGCAGAAGCCCTCACTTTTAATACCATCTTTGGTTAAGGACAAGAGGAGCTGTTGGGGGCAGAGAGTCAGTAATGGGAGATGACCAGGAAAAGCACAGTAAACAGGGGTAAGGTTATGCAGATTTTTTTTTTTTAGTTAATTATATCCAATTATGGATGATATTGCAATCAATTTATTTCATTTTTTAATTTAATTTAATTTATTATTTATTTTTTTATTGGGGTTGTTCCACAATGTTGTGTTAGTGTCTACTGTACTGTTATGCAGATTTAAGTTGGTGCCTTCTGCATTGATAAGCGTTTCTGGAGATAAGGTCATACCCCTCTTCCTGGTATGGTGAGGGTGACAACCTTACAAATGGAGATCTCCCTTATACATGTCATTGTCTCTTACAAAAAGGGTAACTTCTAATCAGTTTTCAGAGCTTTTCCTGTGTCTGCAGTTTCTTAAAATAATCAGCCTAAAATAATCCTTATGTCAAAGAGACATATTGGAGTGGCAAATTCTGCTCCCCTACATCATCTTTACACTAAGGTATTGGAGAGCATCCTATTTAACGTTTTAACTTGTCACCCCCCCACACACTTCATATCCCTTTCCCTGCTTTATTTTTGTTTTCTTAGCATGTATCATTATGTAGAATATAAACTTGTGTGTGTGTGTGTGTGTGTGTGTGTGTGTGTGTGTGTGTGTGTATTGCCTGTATCCCCAGCTAGAATGTAAGTTCCTTGAGGGTAGGGATTTTTGTTTGTCATGTTCATTTGTCATAGTCCTGGTGCCTTGAATAGTACCTGGCATACTTAACAATGAAAAAATTGAATGAACAAAAGAAAGGGAGGACTAAAAGGAAGGAAGAAAGCAATAGGAAGGCATTGATTGCAGGGTCCAGAGGTTCTTTTTACTTTTAAAATTTGGGCCAAAATGCTTTCAACATTTATTTTTCATTAGGATAGAGGTGATTCAGGGAATACTATACTTCCTCATGAGTGGAGAGGACTTCAGTCAAATAGAGCTATCTACTCTTAGATGGAGGGTGAAACTGAGCAGGACCCTGTAGGGCCCTCCTGGGTGCAAATCCTTTTCATGTCTCCCCTTTCCTGTTTTTAAGAAATAGGCTTCATTCAACCTCCTAGACCTTCCTAAGTACCAAAGGGCAGATTCAAACAGTTGCTAATCAGGGAAGGGAGGGAATGCACAAACAAAGGAGGGGCAATCAAGAAACAATAGTACAAAAATTAAAGTAAGGTCCTGGTTCCTCCTCAAGGAATATACATGACAGTATCTTTGAGCTCTTCTGCAGGAACTAAGCCCCCCCCCCCCCCCGGGGGGGGTGTAACTTCAGGCTGAGCACAGATTCCTGGAGCACTGCCCTGCTATCTCACCACCCAGAAGAAAGCCAACCAGAAGAAAGCCACACCCCCTGCAGCCCTCACCCCAAATTTTGCCTATGAAAACTTTTCCCCGAAAACCACTGCAGAGTTTGGGTTTTTTGATCACGAGCCACCCATTCTCCTTGCTTGGGCCTGCAATAAATCTTTCTCTGCTCCAAACTCTGACGTTTTGGTTTGTTTGACCTCACTATGTGTTAGGCACAAGAACTTGCATTCAATAACAGTAGTACTTGTTTCAGTCTGCTTACAGAGGGGCCCATATCTTCTCTCTCCATCTCTTCTCTCTCTCAATATGGGACAGGCTTATTCGCCATTGTATCCCCAGAACCTAACCCATTTGATATTTATTGATTGTTGAAAGGATGAGAAATATAAGGGAATTATAAAACAAGTCAAGAGGATCAGAGACCAAAAGATTAATTCTATTACTAGAAAGTAATGAGACTGGATTTATTGTTTTTGTGTTGCTGGTAAACTATCTCTGAAAGCAATTTAATAAAGGTTTAAAAAGTGTTTGAACTATGATGACAGCATTTTAAATGTTTACCTTGGCCAAATGTAATTACTTTTAAGGAAAATATTCATTTGAATGTAGAAGTTATGGCACATTTGTCACCAAAAAAGTATCATTACATTATTGTATTCAAACCTTAAAATTGTTTCTAAAAAGGAAAAACAGTACTCTAGTGACAGTTGCAATCTACCATTAAATGACAATATGCAGAACTTGTGCCTGAGATGGAAAAGCGTTTTTTCTGTGGATTTGGGATCAAGCTCAGCCCTGGGTGCCTTTAAGTTTGGCCAAACCAAGGCTTTGAGGTTTTTTGACAATGAGAAGCAGGAACATGGTAAGGGATCAAAGGATGAAAATTTCAGTGCAGATCAAGGTTTGTTCATAAGGTCTGCTTTTGTGAAACATCAGGATATGAATGAAAATGTTGGTACTGAAGAGATGGCAGTTCAACTTAGTCTTTCTGTTTGAAGGCAGCAGAGGAAGCAAGAAATTGTTTGCTACATGGCAATTTGCATTAGCAAAAAAATGCAGACACCTCTACGATCATTTCACAAGAAATCATCAAGGGGCCCTAGGTACCCCCTCCCCAAAACACTCCTTAAAATTGCCTGTAAAAATCTCCCCAAGGCAGAACATCTGAATAAACTCTTCTAATGAAGGTATTGTTTCCAATTCTAATGTTTTTTGTCATAAATATAAAGTGGAAATTATGAAGAGTAAGCTAAGAAATGTAAATGTATTACTAAATACAATTTTATATATTATCCTGACTAATCATTTTACATACTCTTTAAAAATCTTTATAATATGCAGGCATAAGGGAAGAAAAAAGTCTTCTTCCCTTTACCCTTCTACTTTTCAGCTGCGGTGCCTGTAAAAAAAGACAGATTAACAAGAGAAAAACAAGCAGAAGTTTATTAATAAATATATCTAATATGTACTTGGGAGAAACCCAGAAAAACTGAGTAACTCAAAGAAGTGGCTTAGAATTTGAACTTAAATACCATGTTAGGCCAAAACAAAGGAAGAAGGGTATGTGGGAGGCAAGTTATGGGAAAGTAAGCAGGTGACAATGTAAACAAGAGTAGGGTTTGTTTTGCTGATTTAAGTCTGTGCCTTCTTCATTGATAAGAGTTTCTAGAGATTTGTGGTAATCCTTCTCTTCCTGGTACAGAGTGGAAGACATCCTTACAAAGGGAGATTTTCTGTATAAATGTGAATTTCCCTCACAAAAGAGTAATTTATGCTGTTTTCAGAGCTTCTCCTGTTTCTCAGAATAATCACCTCAAAATAATCCTTATGCCAGAAGGGCATATTCGGGGTAGCACATTCTGGTCTCCTATCAAGGTCCATAATTTTAGTTAATAAAGTATGAAATTTGTGATTATTTAAAAAAAAGGGAACAGATCCTTGGTTAAGAAGGCTTCATTGTTTAATTAGGAAGATCAGATTTAATTTAATTTTCATTTACAGCACTTTCTCCAGCATTAAAATTCATTATAAGCCCAGGAGTTCCTGTATTATGTTTTGAAATTAAAAGTAAGAAAAGGAACTGTACCTTGTTTACTTCTCTATCTCCAGCACCTAGCACAGTGGCTGGCATATAGTAGCCACTTAATCAACATTTGATTAAGATTGGTTAGTGCCCTGTAGCTTTAAATGCCATAAGTTAATACTATGGGAAGAGTTGATGGATCACTGGAAATTGATATACCATAAATTGAAGACTGCCAACATAGTGACAAGGAAGAAGTGTTCTAATTACAGACTTTGTTGTCAGAAACTTTGTTGTTACTGGTTGAAATAAAATAAGAGGTAAAGTTATATGCTTCAGAATCTCAGAAAAGATATCCAGTGAGCTCCTTCTCCTTGCCTTTCAAGTATGATATGATATGAATCTTGAAACAAATACTGTTGATTGTTCACCCAACATGTGCTCCCTACTT